TGATGATGCAAGAGATCTATGAGGGGTAATCCCCGCCATAACTGTCTTTTCATTTTATGGCACTGTTTTCCTGTTTATTGTAGCACGTTTCATTTCACTGAAGACGTCTCTTTTCCGTGAAAGGCACATTCCGCAGTTTTGCACAAGTACATTTTGTACAATTACATTAACTACACCTTGAAGCGCTAACAAATACAGTTGTGACCAATTTAGAAATGCCACTCTCGTAGAATAGAGAGTCTTAATTTTTGCAGAATTCGGCTTCGTGAATTTGTCACTTGAATTTCGCGAAATTCAACTCCCTGGGCTGCGTTGTCAGCGGTTTTACTTCAAATACAAGAAGGGGGCGGTCACTCAGCTTGGCGCGCGAACTGGAAGATTAATATCTGGACGACTGGACGTTTTTTAGTTTTGGGTTTGCAAAATGTCTTGAACGGTAACACTGACAAGGTTGTTAGTCTTCTGAGAGAAGCAGCTAGTTTTCTCGGTGGAGATAGAGAGTCTGACGACACGGCTGTTTCAACTGCAGGAAGAGTTGTTACAGGGACTGAAACAGTGGTGACGAACTCTGTATCCAGTTCGAGTCATGACCAAAACCGGGTGCTTGAAAATTTCAGGTCACTGTTTTCTGGCTGCCGAACAACTAAACATACTATGGTCAGCGTTCATAACCGCTTCTCTCGCTTCGCAAACGAGGTCGATTACACGTGCGTTTATCGCTCCTGTACCTTCAGTGTCCAAGTATCTCGCAAGCACATTTAAGACCCAATCTAATCGGAAAATTACATAATCTAAGGTATCGCAGTTGTGGTTACCACTCTCTAAAAATGTTACTATATCATTGAGGTGAACACGGAGACATTCCCCGACTTTGCACACGGAGGCCATGTTTTATGCTGAGTGACCGCCCCCTTCTTGTATTTGCAGTAAAACCGCTGACAACGCAGCCCAGGGAGTTAAATTTCGCGAAATTCAAGTGACAAATTCACGAAGCCGAATTCTGCAAAAATTAAGCCTCCCTATTCTACGAGAGTGGCAATTCTAAATTGGTCACAACTGTATTTGTTAGCGCTTTAAGGTGTAGTTAATGTAATTGTACAAAATGTACTTGTGCAAAACTGCGGAATATGCCTTTCACGGAAAAGAGACGTCTACAGTGAAATGAAACGTGCTACAATAAACAGGAAAACAGTGCCATAAAATGAAAAGACAGTTATGGCGGGGATTACCCCTCATAGATTACAACACTGCTTATCCATGATTAANTTTGAAAGGCAGCAAGGTTTGTATCATAACAAGGTCAACCCTAGCCTCACTCCCATTCAAAGGCTTGGCAACCAAGCACAACTGTGAAATGGACTATTCAGGGTGACATATCTATTGTGGCAAGAAATGGTCTAAATGAATCCTCCAGAATCAGGTATTGGCCGAGAATTATGGAAGCCTAAATATTTATGCCTACTAAATAAATGCAAGACGGCGAGAGTGGAAATTGATGCGAGAAAATAAAATAGAACTAACCACAAGTAAAGTTGTAGGGATTATACTTGGTTTTCACCTTTCATCTTACATAAAACAGTTACGAATTTCGTGACCCATCACCTGTGTGGCGCAGTCGATCCAGCGATGTTGCAAGTCGCACTATATTTCACATTCGTCTTCAAATCACTGTGCTTAATTAATTAGAGCTTAAGGTAACATCTCTTCAGCTAAAACTGCTTCGCATGATTTTTACATTACACTCTGAATGTTTCCTAATACTCTTGACATTATCAGCAATGATGGCACCACGCCATTCTCCAGACATTTGTCGACCGCGATTGTCATGTTTCCAAGAAACGAGGTGAAGTTAATGGCGTCATACGATGGAGCATAGAGATCTGCTCTTGATCTGCTTTTGTATTGAGACAACTGTACCCTGGTCTTGAACCAGTTTGTCGAAAAGCCTTGCCCAACGACTGCTCGATACTCTGCCGATTGTGTCTGTGTGGGAAATCTTTCATCAGATAACGCGCGCGCGCGCCCGGTCATCGAGTCACGCTATCATATTCAAACAGTTTTCAATCGTTTAGCAACGCTCTGAACAATGAATGGTTTACTCTTCTCGTTCAGATCAGGGAAAATAAGTGATGACATTCAAGAAAGCGCTAAACGCGATTTAGGAACGAGTGAAATACCTCGCAGATTTCCCGCCAAATTTTATCTGCTGAACAGGGACCAATCAGAATGCGAATCCTTCCCTTGTCGACAGCAGTCGGTTCGGTATCTCAGCGGCGTACAAAACTGAGTATGCTCTGTGATGTTGTTCCGCCATTTTGCTATTCCACCGACATTAGTAACCGTTGAAAGCAGGTTGTTTTTACGGTATTTTTCTGTTTCACTCCGTTTAAAAATGCCTCCTAAAAAGAAAGAAGAAGAAAAACCTACGCCTCTGATGGGCCGATTTGGAACCTCATTGAAATGTGGAATCGTGGGGCTTCCGAACGTTGGGTGAGTGGCTCACGTGGGATATGGAACATTTGATCGGAACACTCGATCATTAATTTAATTCACATGAGGCCTGTTGTTTATACACGTGTATTTTTCAGGAAATCAACGTTTTTCAATGTGCTAACGAAGAGTGCAGCAGCAGCAGAAAATTTCCCCTTCTGTACAATAGGTCAGTGTACAGTGATTTCATTCGTACACATTTTGTAGCTAGAACAAAGTTTTATCTAAAACTTGCACCATTTCGGATCGAAACGCCCTTAGCATAGATCCGTACTTTTTTGTAGATAAGAGACGAGGCACATCTGTCAAATCACAGCTCTCTTGAAAAGACTGAAGAACTCTTCATTATAATCTGTTTATGATTTGACCAAGAAGAGTGATTAGCATCTAATTTCTCCTTACAATAGCACCCCTGAATCACACATTAAGGTCAGGAGAATAAAGGCAATGATCACCAACTAAAGAAGCTCTTGATTGTTCAATGAATTCTCCTTGTCAACACCCGAGGAAATGTATAAAGAACAGCATGGAGAAAATGCATACCAACATTAGGATGTAAAAAGTTAAGGCAACCTGATAAAATGGGAATGCTTGGTGGGAAGCAAGGGGTGGTTAACCTGTGCAAATGCTTGGTGGGGAGTGAGGGACTGGTTAACCTGTGCATCCAGACATCTAAACATTTCATCAATAGAAATGAGATTTTTTTATTGTCACCTGTTTACTCATCAGCATGAAAAAGATACTTATGAAAACTTTATAGCTCTCAGATGAATTAAAATCACTTTTTTTCTTCTTTCTCTTTCAGATCCTAATGAGAATAAGTATTTTCTTTTTGTTTGATATTTGATAATTCTTTGGTTAATTTGGTATTAATAGGAAGAGGAGACCATCTCAGGAGACCAAACAGTTTCTGTATATTGTTGATGTAGCTAAAAAAAAAATTTTTGTCGTTTGGGCTTAACCCTTCAGAGGCAGATCCAGGAATTTTTGATTGGGGGGGGTCCAAACTTTGGTTCAGAAAGGACTGTTGGACTCTTTGAGGCAAATTACTTCTCCCCCCCCACACCCCCTCCCACCAGTCGCAGTTGCACGTTATAATTCCTTGGCCGCTTACTGTTTATTTGGATTCATTAAAAAAAATCAGCCAGTTAAAAGTGATATACGATCCTGTCGCAAAGTTATAAGCATCAGGTTTGATAGGGGGGGTCCGGACCCCCAGACCCTCCCCCTGGATCTGCCACTGCCCTTGCACTTGTAACTGTGACCATTAAATAGTTCTTCCAAACAGTACCAGTACATTTCAAACCAGAAAAATTTTGAAACGAAAGAAAATCATCAAATAGGGAATACTAGATGATTTTACAGGATGATTCATTGCCTGACAAGGGAATTCTGTATTAAATTGCTTGAAAAAACAAAAGTGATATTGCACAAATTTCAAGTGGTGAATGTGACATTGGTTTTCATGTGCAATTTATCATGGACTACACGAGTCAGGTGATGGATTTTCCATGAAATGCATAATTGAATAACAATTAGAAAAAAAGAATACAGCAATAACTTAAAAAAAAAAACTTACCACCTTACTCTATTTACAAACAACAGATAGATATTGTTTGTTTTTAACCTGAGTGCGAAATAAGAGATGTGAAACAATATCACTCAGCCTTGTTTTCAACTAGTAATTCCATGTTAAATACCTTGTTTCGCTAACCGATCAGAATGCAAGTTTTTATTCAATTATGCAAATCTACACCAAATTCTCAGAGCTGGAATTTCCTAGACTAAATCTGCACCCTTATAGCAATTTCGACAAAGTGTTGAAGGTAATCTTTGATTTCATGGACTTGACTCTTCTACACTCTGTGATTGGACTGCAAATTCAGGCCACTGCTGGCAGATAGGATCCTTTAAATCACAGACATTTAGATATTTTGGTGATGAAAGATAATTCTCTAATTCTTTTCATTCTTCCTTGCACGTCGAGTGGCAGTTCCAGATGTGAGATGGGATTTTCTATGTGATTACCACAAGCCAGCAAGGTAAATAGTTTTCTTTTTTCATAATCTGTACTAGTTTATGGTTCTATTGATCTTTAAATAGCAAGAGGTTAGAGTAAGGTATTCTCAAAATTAATGGAATGTGAAGATTTATCATGATTAATTGTATTGATTCTCTCAGCAAAGTCCCAGCTTTCCTTCACGTGACAGATATTGCAGGCTTGGTTCAGGGAGCACACGAAGGACAGGTTAGAACAGCCAGCATTTTGTGAACGTTGGTGGCACTAATGCCCGCATGTTTTGTTACAATTACCTTCCATTAAAAACAGACAAAAATTAAGGGAATATGTCAAGTTTTGAAAAGTGATTGTACATGAGTTAGGGACATGCTGAAAAGGGAATTCTTATGCTCATATCAGTGAATGTTTTTTGTTTTTGTTAGGGTCTGGGAAATGCATTTTTATCACACATTTGGGCATGTGATGCCATTTTTCATATGATACGTAAGTAACAAACTAGATGTCTTTTGGGACTCCTAATAACTGCCTCCTGGTTAGCTCAATTGGTTAGAGCACTGGATTGTGTTGTGTGGGGGGTCGAGGGTTCCAGTCCCTGCCGGACCAATACTCATGGTCTTAAAATAACTGAGGAGAATTTGCTACCTTTCTATAATATCAAGAAATGGATAGATATTCTGGTCTTCTCGGATAAGGACGAATAAGCCGTAGGCCCCTTCTCTTGCAGGGTTAGGGGTCGGAGACGTTAATTTCCCACGCGATTACTGACGTTAATTTACCACACGATTACTGTGTGATGGATGTCCTCCCCTGGGGTGGTCTGGGTGGGGGGAAGGTTAGATCGTTACATGGACTGAAGCAGCTGCCAGAGGTGCCTGATAATCCCGATGTCCGATCTCAACCTTAGTAACATTGTAAACTTGCACGCGTGTCTGCGAGTATTTAGTTTGATCTATCTAACCCTTTCACTTTCAAAGTGTTGTCCAATTTAATGTCAACTTCTCTTGTGAAAAGTGTTTCTTTTGCATGAGAAAAAAATTTATTCTTTTAAAAACTCAAAAGGGCTTTGTACTTTCTCTCCTTCAACCCTTTAAATGCTGGGAGTAACCAACATTTAATTTCCCCTTAGTAATACTGCAGAATCACTTGTTAAGATCACCAAAATAAAGAGATTGCCAACCTAAGAAGCTTTGATTGTTAAACCAATTCTCTCTGTAAAGGAAATGTATAGAGAAGAGTAACTATGGAGAATATGAATACTGATCGCAGAGTGTCGTGAATAGTTAATTCGATACCTTAATAACAGCATAGGCTGAATTGCTAAAGTTTACAATGTTATTGAGGTTGAGATCAGACGTCAGCATTATCAGGCGCCTCTGGCAGCCGCTTTAGTCCATGTAACGACTTCACCTTTCCCCCCACACATCCCACCCCAGGGGAGGACATCCATCACACAGTAATCTCGTGCGTGGGAAATTAACATCCCAACCCTGCAGGAGACGGGACCTCCATTTATTCGTCCTTATCTGAGAAGACTAGAATATCTATCCATTTCTTGATATTATAGAAAGCAAATTATCCTCAGTTATTTTAAGACCATGAGTATTGGTCCGGCCGGGGCTCAAACCCTTGACCTCCCGCACAACACAATCTGGCGCTCTAACCAATTGAGTTAACCAGGTGTGGTCAAGGGTTAAGAGAAGAGGCCACCAATTTCTTATAATTTATCTTTTTGTGAATGTTGTATTTTCATACAAATTGTTCCAATGAGGCCTTAAGGGTAAAAAGGTAAAGCCTACTCAGGAGCCATGTGGCTCATCAGGCCGGCGCTAAACTCCGGTTTCTGTAGCATGAAGCTACTAGGAGTATTTCTAC